TTGAACTGTGGTGTTGGAGAAGACTCTTGAGAGTCCCTTGGACTGCAAGGAGATCCAAGCAGCCCATCCCAAAGGAAATCAATCCTGAATATTCACCGGAAAGACTGATGCTGAAGCTGAAACTCTAATACTTTGGCCACCTGATGCAAAGAACTGACTCATTAGAAAAGACCCTGATGTTGGGAAAGATTGAAGGTAGGAGGAGAAGGGGACGACAGAGGATGAGATGGTTGGATGACATCACCGACTCAATGGGTAGGCGTTTGAGTAAACTTTGGGAGTTGGTGATAGACAGGGAGGCCTGGCTTGCTACAGTCCATGGGGTTGCAGAGTTGGACAGAACTGAGCAACTGAACTGAACTGAACTGAATAGCATATAGTAAATGTTCTGATAACTTTCTGTTTGGTTTTAGGGCATTAGACACGGTATCCTGGGGGAAGTGACATTTAAATTGCAGGCTAGTGATGTGTAGGAATTACTAGGTCTAGAAGAGAGTTTTTCAACCTGGCCACTAGTGACACACCACTGCACAATTTTTTGTGTGGACTTCTCTTGTGAATTATAGGATATTTAGTAGTATCTCTGGCCTGTATCACTTAGATACCAGTTGCATTCATAACCCCAAGTTGTGACAACCAAAACAGTCTCCAGACATTGCCACATGTCTCCTGAGGGCAAAATCACCCCCTAGTTGGTCTAGGCAAAGGCCACAGCATAGAATCAGGCCACAGATGGTATGGTCAATCAGGATGCTAGAGCTGGCCACATATCCCTATAGATAGGGAAACTAAGACTCAGGAAGGCTCAGTGACTTATGCTAGACTGTACTGGTCAGTGTTAACCAGAAAAAGTGCAGAAGTGAGGGTAGATGCAAATCCAGAAGAAATCTTTAACATGATTGTTTGTGTGTGTGTGTGTTTTCCTTTAAATAACCAAGCTCTTGCCTAATGTAGCATTTGAGACTGTGCGTCAAACATATTAAGAGTTTATTTCCTATGCCTGAAGTGGTAAAACCTGAACTAACTGCTGAAGTAAGGCTGAAACAGTAGGGAATTTGATATATTTTTTCAGTTTTCAATGGAATAGCCTAAGATTTCTGCCTTGGTAACTAACAATTAGCCAGTAATGGTGCTTGTGTGTATGTGGCAGGGGCAGATGCTGACCCTGATGAAAGTTAGCCAGCATTGCCATCACCTTCTGTGACAGAGAGGCAGCCTGCAGACCTGTGCCCGTCTGGTGGGACAGTCCACTGTGGCAGGAGTGCTGCTAAGAAAGCATCTGGATCTGTGGGGGTTGTGTGATGGACAGGCCTAGGAGGCCAAAGTTTTTCTATAAACAAGAGGCAGGCAGAGGACATGGGCAAGGTTGTCTGTTCCAGGATGGCTCTACAGGGGCCTGTTAATAGGGACAATAGAAGCTACAGTCTCTAGGTAGACACTCAGTTTGTTTTGAAGGAGATCACAATGTGCCACCCCAAAATATGCCACTATAGAAGAGGAAAAGAATGTACTTTTTTATAATAGGTTCACTGGCTAGGACCCTATAAATTAGACTGACAAAAGGCAGCTTAACAAGAGAAAAGCATATTATATAAACCTATGATGCTATATAAGTTTTACGTAACAAGAGAGCCTTCAGAAGGAAATGAAGATCTGAAGAAGTGGTTAAGCCTGAGCATTTTCACACTGGATCTGATCAAGTGTAAAAGTCACAGGAAAGTGTGATAGGATACTAGGTATGAGCTAAGGATGGTAAGCTGGAGGAAACTTGGCAAGGCCTATTGCTTTGGGTTCCTCTTGGTATTCCTCTGTCCTCAGAGATACACATACTCCTTTTCTCCAGATACAGAGTGGGCAGCACTCACATGAGGGTCTTAAAATCTGCTTTAGGGGAGAGAAAGAAGGCCAGAGTCCTTCCGGCACCTGCCATTTCTCAGACTCCTTCATCTTAAAATATTCAATATGCCAAGGTGCCATATTCTGGGGTAATGTGTCCTGAGCTCTTTTTCCACTTTGGCATAAAGATCATTTTGAGCTAAATATACTTGAGATTCAACAGTTGTAGAAAGAAGCTATCCCAGATTTTTCCCTATTGGACTAAAAGCAGAAACTCCTGAGAATTATGGACTGCCATAAATCCCTTATCCAAGGGGGGTTTTATGGCCATTAAGAAGATGGAAAGCTGGTATGGAGATTGACCAGCACAGGCAAACCTTGCTAAAATAGTCCTTATCGTCTCTTAGTTTTCTCCATATATTTATCTTTCCATAGTTTTCCACACTTCAAAGCCCAAAACTCTTTTCCTTTGTCTGTTACATATCCATAATTTACTATTCTCTATCAAAAATGCTATTTTTGGGTCTCTTTGGGTCTTCATTTCTTTTCTAGGAAGGCTCCCCATTTATCATAAACATTAACATCAAGTAAAATTTGCATGCTTTTTCTTCTTTCAATCTGTCTTATCCATCTAATTTGCAAGGCCCCAGGAAATGAACCCAAGAGGGTAGAGGAAATTTTCCTCCTTTACAGTTTGTTTGTTTATGTGTTACTTCATTATTTTTTTTGTTCACCATGTTCACCTGTGTTCACTGATTGTGAAGTAACATTTTGAGGTTTTCTCTACCCATTCATCTATCCATCCATCATCCATGTTCATCCATCTGGCCATTTATTTATTTTACTGAATCATTTGAGAGTTACCTTAGAAATCATGATACTTCATCTCTAAGTAGTTCATTAAGACTCTGAAAACAAAGGTTTTTTTTCCCATACAAACATGGTGATCACACTTAGAAGTTTAACACTGAATTAATACTCTTATTTAATACCATGCTACTCATAGTGTGGTCTAAGGGCCAGCAGCATCTGACTTCATCTCTAGGAACTCTCAGATGGTAATATGCACTGGATGGGGGCGGGGGTGGGGTGGGGTACAGAAATCTGTGTTTTAACAAACCTTCAAAATGTTTCTGTTCCTGGTAAAATTTGAGGGCTAAAATTCTAGATTAAAAGAGATTTGAGAGACTTCACAACTAAATGCTATGTATGATACTTAACTAGATTTAAATTTGAGGTGGGGATGGAATGGGGAACAGAAAACTAGGATGTTACTGGGACAGTTTGGGAAATTTGAATGTGAATTGTACATTAAATCAGGACTTCTCAAAATTGAATGCACCCAGAAATCACCTCAGGGAACTTCTTAAAATGTAGATTCTGAGCCTGGGGTGGGTCCAAGCTTCTGCATTTCCAGTGAGGCTCCTAGATGATGCTGATGTTGCTGGTCTTGGGACCAGGTTTTGAAAAACTTAATCTAGAATAACTCCCCAATTTTTTTTAAAGAAACTACACTGACATTTTTGAAGCGCCCAAGCTGACTGTATTGCAAAGCATCTCACAATTTGTATGTAACTAATTGTTTTCTCATTGTTAGACTCAAATTAAATGTTTTTGGCAGAAATACAATATAGGTGATGTTAGGCCCTTCTCTGTAGAACACATCAGGAAACACATGATTTGATTACTCTTTAATGCACCTACAGCTTTAACTCCCAGCCTTTCTCCCTCCACCCATCCCACCCATCTCCCCAGCAGGGGTGGTGTCAAAGCTGTCCAAGGAGACTTTACCCTGCACTTACATTCTTGCTGGTGCTGTTGAGAGGCGCAACTGTGAAGAACTAATTGCAAAGTTGAATACCCATTAGACAACTTTATTTGATCTGTCTCCCAAACGTAAACCCCAATGATATAAAACAGTATAACTGTGTTTGTGAAAATCCTCCTGTACTAAAGATGAATCACCAGTTTGCCTCAGAAATGAAAAGGAGACTGATTCAGGTAAGCTCTGTTGCCAAAAATAACCTATGCAGGATGTTACACACAAAAAAACAGAAAATAGGCAGAAGCCAACAAGAGAAACACAGATGGTGTTATGACAGACCTACAAAAATCCTTTTGAAGATAAATATAGGTGACAGGGTTTGAACCTCCTCTGGAAAATAGCAACAAGTTCGGCAAGCATCCTTCCTTTACTGTCAAAAGGAATCTCAAAATAGAATGAGAATGTTTTGGTCCAAAGATGCATATGTCATAAAGAAAACTTATGGAATGGATCGACTGAGGGCAAAAAAGAAGAATGCATGATTTTTGTAATGAATGAGACACTCTTTAAAGCTCACTAATCAAAAGACACTTCAAAACTTGATACTTTAAAGGCAAAAAAAGAAATAGAGGCTGAGTAGTTCTTGAGAAGAGTCAAGACACTCGTAAAACTCCTAGTCAGTGGGAGTTGTGGCATTCAAGTCCTATCCTTGGAACATAATTATTTTTGAGATGGACAGTACAAGAACTGTAAATGACTGCCTTCTTGGGCTGGTTAGCCTGCCCTGAAGGCACGCTGTGATTTCCACTGAAGGCCAGGGGCGTGTCCGGCTCTCTGAGCTGGGAGGCAGCTGGTCTCGCCAGAGGAGCCTGACACACCCAGATGGCTGGGAGAGTCAGTTTTCCCCAAAGTTGGGTACACAGTCTGAGAGCCTAAATACAGCAAGGTTTCCAGACACAGACAGAGCTGAAACACCGTCAGTCTATCCCAGACACAACAAGCATAATGAAAGAAGAGCTTTTACCCATGACTTTCAACCTTATCTTTTAGGTTGATGTGTTGTTATTAATTAAGGGTAATTATTGGGGTTAAGGGCTTCCCAGGTGGCACTAGTGGTAAAGAACCTGCCTGCCAATGCAGGAGATGCAGGAGATGCAGACTGGATCCCTGCCTGAGTCAGTAAGATCCTCTGGAGTAGGAAACGGCATCCCACTCCAGTGTTCTGGGAAGTTCCATGGGCAGAGGAGACTGGTGGGCTACAGCCCATGAGCGCGCACACACACACCCCCCCACAGTAAGGAAACTTTAAATGAAAGTAAAGGGATGGCGGGAACGTAGTCCACTGAATTTAAGGGGTTTTTGTAAAAGTTGCCAAAGAAAAAGAGGCAGCTGACCTCACCTCTTCAATCTCAAACCCCTCTGGCACTCGTGTCCCCATCATTCAGAACCACTCCAGGGCCTCAGACTTGACACACACACTGTTGCCTCCAGGTCTCCGTCCCTGCTCTTCTCACCGTCGGCTGGTTTGGTTCAAGTAGACGATCTCTTCTTGGAAAGCCTCCTTGACTCCATCCTCTCTTGTGCTGCCCACACAGCATGCTGTACTCACAGTCATGAGGGTCTCTGTCCCTTTCACTAGACTGTAAGCTCCTTGAGGGCAGAAACCTTATTTTGTTCCATTTTGAAGTTTTAGCATCTAGTCTAGTGCCTGGCACACAATATTAATCATGACAGAGATGGACTTATCACATTCTATGCACTATTCTCAGTACTTCACAATGGTGCATTCATTTAATGTTCATGACAACATTATGAGGTAAGAGCTGTTATTATTCCCATTTTACAGAAAAAGGAAGCAAAAGGTATTTATATAACTTGGTCTCATTTATGTCCATGGTCTCATAGTTAGTAAGCAGTGGAGCCATGGTTTACACCTGGCCAGTTTGGTTCTATGGATCATGTTTCTTAACTAAACCATGTTGCTTTTAAATACCAGATGAAAGGATGAATGAACGGTGATGTTCCATGTAAGGATGGATGGATGACTGTACATGTCTCTAGACAGTTAAAGAAGACTAAGGCATGAGAAAAATGTACCCACTGTAGGCCTCTTGTACGTGCCTGCTAAGTTGCTTCAGTCATGTCCGACTCTGTGACCCCATGGACCGTAGCCCACCAGGCTCCTCTGTGCATGTGATTCTCCAGACAAGAATAACGGAGGGGATTGCTATTTCCTTCTCCAGGGGATCTTCTGACCCAGGGATCGAACCCGTCTCCTGCACTGGCAGGTGGGTCCTTCACAACTAGCGCCGAATTGGAGTAGAATGATATGGTCCTTGCTCCACCAACCCCCCTGCCCCCGCCTCCCCGCAGCATGTCCTCTGCTTGCCTTTTGCCTGTGGAAAACTTTAGTCAAAGAATAAGTTTAATCAGAAAAGTGAAAAATGCTGAAACAAAGGAAGGCAGTCAAAGGAGACTAAATAATAATAATGCAGTCATCAAGCATAGTCAAGGGCCTTCAGTTCTTTCTCAAGGGCTGTAGATAGCATTCTGAGCCATAGCCTGTGAGCCGCCTCATAGATACCAAAACACCAGGTGGAGAAGTTAACTATATGATGACCAGACTGCACCAAGGACTCGAGCTGCCACAACTCTGAGAATTGACCACAAAGAAATGGGAACAAGCAGAGCCCGGAACTGAAGATAAACTGCTCCTAAAACAACCAGGACGATGCTGGTGAGGCCACCGATGACCAGCTGAGGATGACTGTTAGAGATGACTGTGCTGTTTCTGCATGTAGCTCCCACCCCTGACTCTGTCTACAGAAGCTCTCACCCCCTGCCTGTCAGGGTGGGGAGTCGGCCTTTGAACAGATGTCTGCCACCCTCCCCACCAGTTGCCAGCATCTGAAATAAAGCAAACTTTCCTTTCCACCATACTGGCCTTTTTTTTTGGCTTTTGAGCAGCGAGCAGCCATATTCCACACACACACACACACTCATTCGGTAACAGCGCCAAATGTAAGAAAGGCCCCATTAAGTGCAAATTTGGGGGCACAAACTATTTCCTACTAAGGAAGGAACACACAAACACACAAAAGCAGACAGTAAGGAACCCATGGAAGCAGCATGGGTTTTGGAATCAGAGGACTAGATTTGAATCATGGCCCTGCTAATTTGAGGCCAGTTACTTTGTCTAAAAATACCCACGTCATCAGTGGAGGATATGTGTGCATCCACCAGAGTGCCTAGAACTTAGGGACCTTCTGAGAAGCTGGTTCCTTCCTGCTCAAGAGAGATGACATCACCTGAATCTGATTTAACACAAGCAGAAAATTGCTGAGGAAAGGACTGAAGTGGCTGGTTCACTGGAGGACGGAGAGGCAGGACTTGTCTGAATTCCCTGCCCTCTTCCTGAAACCAGGTTTTGGGCTTTAAAAACAGATGAACTCAAAACTTTCTAAGCTTTGTCAATTCCTTAAATTCTGGAATTAGTAGGCAACTCGCATGCCTACTGAGGGGATTTGCTTGGAAAAATATGCTCATTATACAAATGGGATATCCTTGAGGACACAGTGCTTGGTATTTATATTTTAAAATTCTTTCTCAAATAATAAAAGTAATTAAAGTTCACTGCAAAAAAAGTAATTAAAGCCCATTACAGTAATGCAGAGAAGTACATATAAAAAAATGAAAGATCAGTTCATGCTAGTCATTTTGGAAGATAATTCTTAATTTCTTTCTATGTATATATGTATACTTTTTATAAAAAAACAGAAATACAATTAAAGTGTATATAACATTCAGCTATTTCCACTTGATGAAATGTTGTGGATGGCTATACTAACATAGGCACATATCATCAACTGTACTGAAAGGATTTACTATAGATTATTTAACAATGCTGTTAAGTGACACCTATATGAAGCCATTATTATGAATAACACTTCAATAAAAATCTCAGTATGCACATCTTTGAGCCCCTTTTCTATTATTTGTTTAAATTCCTAAAATGGGACTCTCTAGGTTAAACATGAGCATTTTTATTTTGATACATATTGTCAAACTCCTCTAGAAAGATGACATTTCGTTATTAGTACAGAAAAGTCACCCATACCGTCTAACACTGGGAATAGCCATTGTTTTTAACATTTGTCAAATAGAGCAAAAAAAAAAAAAAAAAAAAAGGCTTCTCATTTTAACTTATATTTGATTGCTAGTGAATTACACATTTAAATGTTTATGGACTATTTGAAATTTTCTTTTGTGAATTTCTAGCTCATGTTCTTACCAATTGTAAGAGCATGTATTCTCCCTTGCAGATCTGATGCTGTATAGAACCTTACATAGAGTAGTTACTCAATAAAAATTTGTTGAATCCCTGTTCGTTGGCTGCAAATATAGAAACTTTTCTACATGATCTGGATTGCTTAAAATATGAATCCAACAAGATATTGATAGAAAACATTTTTCTTTTCCTAAATATGCCATAGAAAAAGGACAATCACTGACTCAATGGACGTGAATTTGAGCAAACTGTGGGAGACAGTGAAGGACAGAGGAGCCTGGCATGCTTGCAGTCCATGGAGTCACAGAGTTGGATATAGCTTAGCGACTGAACAACAACATAAACACACACATATATAAAACATCATTTTACATTGTGCTTACTTTTAACGTTTGTAAAGACATATTTTCATTTTTAATGATCAGGGCATTTTAATGAGATGTGTATGTGCATGTGGGCTCAGTCATGTCTGACTCTTTGCAACCTGGTGGACTGTAGCCCACCAGGCCTCTTTGTCCATTGAGTTTTCCAGGCAAGATTACTGGAGTTGGTGGCCATTTCCTACTCTAGGGAATCTTCCTAACCCAGGGATTGGACCCAAGTCTTCTGAGCTGGGAGGTGGATTCTTTACCATTGGCACCACCTGGGAAGACATTTTAATGATATGAAATAGCTTTCCAATAACAGAACCCAACATTATAACATTGTGCCTCTAGGAAAAGGGTCTCATGAGTCTGTAGTGCAGGAACCTATTGGGATGTCATTGGAACCATTTGACCCTCATTCAACAAATAGTAGGTCCTCTAGGAAAAATCCATGGAATTTTACTGCCTACCCATCTATACGGCCAAGGTTTCATAAGAAAGACCACATCCACCCCTCACATTAACTTGTGAGAAAGAGCAAAAAATACTACTTCTTTTTAGTTCCATGGGGGCCATTAATCAAAACATATACCTGGCGGGCTATGGTCCATGGGGTCGCAGGGAGTCGGAAACAACTGAGAGACTAAGTCTGCGCACACACACACACATATATGTACCCTTAGAGTTGCAACTAAAAACAAACTATCTGTGACCTGTTCTTTCCTTAACAAATGTTCCAGACTATCCCTTGGGTGGTGATGGGTTAGCTTGCTTATCGGCACTGTTGCAACAAGAGAGGCTGAGATACTGTGCATCTCTTCTTCTCTCACAAGGCTCTGGTTGCCCATTTTAGGGCTGGAATCTTGTTGCCATTGTCCTATGTCCTCAAACAGTCAAGCTAAGCCAAATAACCCAGAGCACAGAGGCTTAAACTTTAGGCAGGCTGCAGGGAGTGCTGCCTTCCCCTCTTTGGGGGCCTCATGTCATAGTCTGGGGGCCAGCACATAAACACCTAGAGCAGCTGGAGTCACCTGTGTGAAAGGGGAGAACTCACCAAAAACGTGATTTTCACTGTTGTAAAATCTGCCCCGATTTACTGCCCAACTTCCTCTCCTCTCACCCCGATATTTCAAGAGGAGAGAGACTTAATGTCTGATAAAGTTCTTTCTTTGCCCACATGAAAGGGGTGTGGAGCAATTGCAAGCTTGCTGAAGAGCAGTTGTTTGTGGAGACAACCACAGCTTCGGTTTTCAGGCTCCCAGCCCCTCTGGCTGCCTCTCTTCCTACCTTTGAGCAAGCAGGAGCAGAAGTTTATGCCAACTCCAGAACTTCAAATGTGTCATTTCTGAAACCACAACAAGTCTCTCAAGCTTCCTGAACAAAGTGCTCAGAGTGGAAAGCCCTGAAGTAATTTTGGGCCTCCTGAAACCACAAAGCTGATTACCGAACAAAGCCCCCAAGCATCCGAGCACAGGAGTGCCTTCCTTGGACTTCATCTCAGAAAATGAAAAACCTGTTGTTGAGAGCAGTGACTGGGGAGGTGTGTGGGGGTGGTTTAGGGTGAGGGTAGGGAGGGGTCTGACTTCTCTGCTCAGATCAGTAACACCATCTAGATAGTCTGTGCCAGTGATGGGTCACAGCAATTTAAAGCACAAGGACCTACTGGTAATATCAACTTTTAAATAATTGTACTGTTAGTAAACCAAATTAAGAAAATATGTTAATATAATAATAATTAAAAGCTAGTGTGAGTTCAGTAGTTCTTCTACATACGTTTATATTTTTCTGGTTCTGGTTGTCCTCATATTTATGAAAAGTGTTAGTACATTTGCACAAAACATTTTTTTACTCCTGAAATTATGCATCTAGAATCTAGATTCAGGGACACTTTGCAATAACTACAAGGCCCACTAGAGGTCCCACTAGAGGTTGGGAACTGCAAGTCAATAAGAACTACTCATCATGTCTAATACTTAACAGATCTGCAAGCTTCCTTGGAAGAAAATCGACTGTGTATTTGGATGTCTTTCAGTTCAGTGCTTATTTACAGGTTTCAAATTACTGGATTATTTCCTCTTGGAAAGTAATGCCAGAATACACACCTCTCTCTCTTTAAAATGATTAAAAAATTTGTCCAGCTTCATTGAGATATAATAGACATATAACATTCTGTAAGTTTAAGATGTATGTGTTTTAGCTGCTCAGTCATGTCTGACTCTTTGTGATCCTGTGGACTGTAGTCCACCAAGTTCCCCT